CTGTTGGTATCTGTATAACTGAAAAAAAACTAGACAAGTTTTATAGAGGATTTTATTATGGGGGACAAAAATTGATGGGATCACATTTTTTTTTAATGGAAAATGAGAAATAGTAATTTGTGAATTATTTTTGAACTCTTCTATTTCTTTCTTCACTTCGGCTTATTCCATACATCCACAGATTACACACATATATATAGTAGTTAGAAGAATAATCTAGAGCACTAATTATTACAACAACTATTTTCTACTAACTATCAACTAATTTCTTCTTAACTTCTAACTAACTTCTTAAATGAGCATTAATAATTTATACACTCCCCCTTAATGCTCATTTGGATAATTCCAAGTTTTTCGCGTAGAGTCTCGAATCTTGGTCGCGGTAAAGCCTTTGTGAAAATATCTGCAAGTTGATCTTCAGTGTAGAGATATACTTGATCTCTTTTTTCTCGTCCATGTATGTAGCGGTTCTGTACGGCTTGTCTTTGAATTATTCTTGTAGTGATTTCTCTTGTATTTATTGGCTCGACAATTGCTCGATGGCACATTTTGTAGCACCTTTGTTGTGGAGGCTTTTAAACTTGTCTTCTAATGACTGTGTTTGCTTGCTTCTCTTGATTGTGTGATTTAGGGACTCTGATATTTTTCTTCTTGGCAATTTCTCCTTGACTTTTGACGCTTGATTTGTTAATTTGTGTTGGGTATTGAAATTCCATTGCAAAACACTGATTCTCCCTCATTTTGATTTTTGCAATTACTTTATTGTTCTTGTCGTAAATGGTGCATGATTCTCCTCTGGAATGCAAGTTGTAGCCTTTCTTCAATATTTCGCCGACACTTAATAGATTTTGATCAATTGCTGGAACCAAGAGGACATCTTTGATGTATTTTGTCCCTTTTCTTGTGTCAATGGCGATAGTTCCTTTGCCCGTTGCTTCTACGTAGTTGCCGTTTCCAATCTTGACTTTTGAACAGATTTTTTTTAATATTGCAAAAAAGACTTTCATCAAAAGTCATGTGATTGTTGCAGCCGCTGTCCAAGAACCAAATATTTCTTTTGTCTCCTGTTGTACTGTTGGAAGCAAAGAATAGCAATTCTTCCTGCTCTGTCTCTTCCGAAAAATTGGCTGGTTGAGTTTGTCTTCTGCCCCAACAATTTTCCTCGACGTGGCCATACTTTTGACAATTTTTGCGTTGGTTTTTCTCTTGAAACCAACATTATTCTTCCTTGTATTATTTTTATTGCAAATTTCACATGGTGTATCATACTATACTTTCTTTTTGTTATTTTCTATTTTATTATTGTTATTTCTCCAAATCTTCTCCCCCCAATTCTAGAATTCTGAGACCGTAAATTTAGTTTTGACTGAAATGCATTTTCGACTGTATCATTTTCACACATATTCAGTCTTTTTTCATAGGCTTCAAGTGAGCCTATTAATTCAGTCAAATGATCTAAATCTTTAGTTTCTTCAATCGTCGTGATGATAGAATCATATTTGATTTGTAGAGTAATTAGAATTTTTTCTACTACCCTTTTGTCAGTAATATTTTATCCATATCCTTTTAATTAATTTACTACTTCTCTTAATCGAGTGTAGTAATCTTTTACGGTCTCGAATTCTTTCATCTTCATATTTTCTAAATCTCTTCTTAGAGTTTGTAATTTTAGATGACGTACCTTATCACTCCCTTAATATTCTTCCTTTAAAATATCCCAAGCCTCCTTTGATGTATGTGCTCTGCTAATTCTTGGAAACAGGGACTCCGTCATAGCCATTTGTAACGTGAATAGGGCCAAACTGTCTTTTCCTTCTCCCGGTCGAATTTTTCTTCGTCCGCCGTAGACAAAGTGGATATATCATCGGAGATAGTATACTCGTTCTCGACAATATTTCATAGGCCTTGAGACATGAAGTATGTTCTCATTTTAATGGCCCAATAGTTATAATTTTCGCCGAAAAAAATGAGAATTGGTATTTGATGGGTATTTTGGGAAGTGGCCATTTTAGAAATTTAGTAGCCTATATGAAAGTAGGAAGATATGTGAAAATAGGGTATTTGGACAAGATATGTAAATATAGAAGGATATTGGAAAATAATGTCGCCCAGCTATTCATCCAACTAGGCTCTGATACCACTGTTGGTATCTGTATAATTGAAAAAAAAAAAAAAATTAGACAAGTTTATGTATAGAAGATTTTATTATGGGGGACAACAATTGATGGGATCACATTTGTTTTTTTAATGGAAAATGAGACAGAGTAATTTGTGAATTATTTTTGAACTCTTCTATTTCTTTCTTTACTTCTGCTTATTTCATACATCCACAGATTACACACATATATATAGTAGTTAGAAGAATAATCTAGAGCACTAATTATTACAACAACTATTTTCTACTAACTATCAACTAATTTCTTCCTAACTTCTAAGTTCTAACTAACTTCTTAAATGAGCATTAATAATTTTAACATTGACTATGAATTTCGGTAGGAGGTAGGTAATTACCGCTTTCGAAAGGCGACAGAAAGTCCGTCGTCTCGTCTGCTGATCGGAAATTGACTATGGACTGAGCACGGCGTATAACAAACTCTGTGCTTTTTCCTATCGACTTTTGCGTTGTATCAAGTATGAAGTCGGCGCAGGGACTTGTAAAAAAATCCTTGTTTTTGCTTCTGCGTATGAATAAATAATATTAAAAAATAATTATAAATTAAAGAGGTAGGTAATAATATTGCATAATAATTCAATATTAAATATATTAAATTAACATGTGATATAATTTATTAAATCATTTTGTTGTAAACAATATAAAATTATCTTGTATAAAAAAACATAAAATGTGTATGTTTAAAATATTAAAATATTATATAACATATATAAAAGTATCTAAAATATGATATATTATTTTTGAAAAAATGTGAAGTTCACCTGAAGGTTCTGTAAATATGTATGATACTAAGAAGATATACCCATAAACATCTAAATTTAACACACACACACACACACACACACATATATATATATATAATATTATAGGCGTGAGTAATATTTATTACAGTTTATAAATGTATATATAAAATAGTATAGATGTGAATAATATGTATTACATTTTAAAAAAATATAAAATATGCATATATAAATTATTATAGACTTGAATAACATGTATTACATGTGCAAAAAAATATTAGTATAAAAAAATTAAATACATAGATATCGAGGAGAAGTTGCCTTATCTGTTCATCTCCTTTTGATCTCACAAGCGTCAGGTATCCAGTTACTTTTGATGTGCGGATTTTGACGTACTTATTAATTTACCAAATGCAAGATTAATGCAAACTGAAATATTATGTAGTATAACATATGTAAAAAAATAAAAAATATTCTATATAGATCAACTTCGAATTGTTGACCTAAGTGGGTGTAGTGTAGGTGAAGTTAGGCTGTGGTCAGAGGAGGGTTTTATTGTATCGATTAGGTGATTAGATGTGGGTTGTTATTGTTTTGTTTGTTATTTCATCTAGTTTTTAAAAAATATTCTATATAGATCATCTTCAATTTGTAAAAAAATAAAAAATATTCTTTTGATCTGGCTAACCACAGTCGTTTTGGATTGTGGAGTTTCTGGATTAGTATTCTTGGCTGAATTTCGGTTCTTCTTCGTAGATCATCTTCGATTTGTTGACTTAGGTGGGTGTAGTGTAGGTGAAGTTAGGCAGTGGTCAGAGGAGGGCTTTATTGTATCGATTAGGTGTGGGTTGTTGTTGGATTGTTTGTTATTTCTTCTAGTTTTTTCAGTTCAAGTCTCGTTGCGTCTTGCTATAGTCTCCTTTAGTATCCTTAATGGAGTTGTCTAATCTTTTTTTTTTTTGGAGTTTTTTTAGTTTTATTTTGCGGGTGGTTGTACTCATTGGTCGACTGTATAATTTGAATGGGGTGGATCTAGTTTGTGTACTGGCTCTAGTGGTGTCCGTTGACACTTCATGTGTATTCTTTTTGAGTTTTACAGTTTTTAATACTATTTTTGTATGAAAAAAAATACTGAACTTGGGGACCTTTATCGGTTTATCCCTCTTTTTGTACTATTGCAGAGTTTTTCTATGTGGTGCTACAATTTTACGTGTCAATTTATGGTGTTTTGTCTATGTAGATATATACTTCGGTCCATCTCTATTATAATTTTTAAAATTATAAAATACTTGACTAACTTAAATTATAAATATATTTTAAAGAGCAATAACTTTTGTATTTATTATCGATCTTCTATATATGATATATAGAATTAACCATCTGTTGACAATTTTTAATTTAACATCTATATTTCATATATAAAATAAATAATTCCATTTAAATTTATAATAAAAACTAAGTTATTTATTAATGTTAATTAAAAAATAATAAAATTATTACAAATTAAATAAATTTGTCTATAAAATATTATATGATACGAATCTTAAAATTATTATAATATTGAATATGTAAGTTGTAAGACGTAGTTTTTTAAATAAAAATAACAATACAACTTCTTAAAATAAAGACCTCTCTCTCTCTCTCTCATAATACATTTTTGTACTAATAAAATCCCGAAGACATTAGAAATAAAGAAAATCCTACGAGGTCAATCTGCAAATAATTCATAATCTTTCTCAAGACTTTTTTTACCCGATCTGTCCGTCTTTTCTCAGAAAGCGTCGACCATCTTCTTATTCGTAGGCAAGGTTTAAGGTCGACTTCCGGCGCTTCTCCTTTCTCTCATTCACTTGCTCCAACAATATCTTTCACATTCCAAGGTATCTTCACCTCCTCCCTAACGCTTGCAATTCACACTAATGTTCGTTTGGAGATATATGGACTAATTTGGGCCATAAACCTTTGTATATCGTGGGGAAATTAAAATTTCTCCAAATCTCAATTTCTTGAAAACTTTAAAAAAATTCAGTTCGCGCCGCTACATTATGCTGTCTCCGGAAAAACATATCCGAATTTCCAGAGCAAAAATGCAGAAAATCCATTCATCTCTTTTCAGATCCCTCTTTTCTCCACAATCTAATTGGAACTATTTGATTTCCTTCAATCCGCACCAGTTATTTCTATCTCATACATGGCAGGGTTTCTCAGTTAGAAATCAATTGTATTTCGGGTTGGGAAATCCGGCAAGGTCATGCTCGAATCATAAGCAAGTGTTCCTACTTGAGCCGTTAGGGCTGGTTATGGATGGAAGAGGAGCAAATGGGAGAAGTTGGGAATGGTGGATATTTTTGTTATTTATGGGTTATGAGGCACGTGGTTTGTTGTGGTTAAGTGTTATTGTTGGACATGATGCTTTGATTGGAAGATTAGGTTTAATCCCATTTGGTTTTCGATTGAAGGTGGAAAACATGGGCTAAAGATTGGATTTTGGGTTCCTGTTGGTGTGCTTTTTTGGTGGGTTTGGTTTTATGGACCATTTTTGGGCAAGTGTGGTTAGGTGTCTTTGGAACCACAAATGACATAGGAAGAAAAATAAGATCATTTTGAGTTTGATCACTTGTGAATTTAACTGGTTGTTCTCTATGTTGTGTGTATTTTCTTATTCCTTGTAATATTGTTTAGTTATGTCCTCTTGTTTTCTCCCCAAGGGTTTGCATCCTGTGGTTCTTGACGATTTATTTATTTTTCTCGTACATGTAGACATAATTCCCTGTATACTTTTTGAGAATTTGTACTGCTCTTAACAGTTTGTTTTTAAAAGTTCACTAGTAACACTGGAAAAAATTTGTTAATATCTGATATTTTTGCTGATTTATTATAAGAAAATAGATTTTCTGGTTAGGTATTCTATCATGTATAACCTGGCCATACTGTTCGGCCCATAGGCCTACACAGGTGGGCCAACAAACTGGGAGTTTCCCAGCCTGAGAAAAAAATGGGCTAGGACCACTCTGGCCCATTTAAGGCCACTCGATTGTGGCTCGGCTCTGGCCCCGCTCCGCTTGACAGTGCTAACTGTGACTTTTATGTTTTGGTTGCTGACTGAATTGCTGAACATTGATTAATTTTTTTTTCTTTTTTCTTGTTGCGTAAGGAGACTTCCAGTTGTGTAAAGTGTA